ACTCCCTATCCCACCGGGGGGGCAGCCCGGTCCCACGTCCTGCTCGCCCGGCGAAGCCGGAGGCAGGACGGTCGGACTTCCCGGCTCCTCGCCCCCAGGGCTAGCCGGAATCACCGTGGTAGCCGGTGACGGAGGACTCGCCGTCCGCGAAGCAGAGGGGGTGCGAGGAGAGGCCGCCATTCTCGCTTGGCTAGATAGCCAAGTTCCCCTTCTCCCCCCTCTACTTCAAAATTACCCCCCTGATGGGGGACTTTATCCAGAATGGCAACGGTCACACACATCTTCGTAGCCATTCCAAGTCACGGCTATCCTGTCTTCGCATGTCAGAGGCAACTCTCCTGCGATCGACGATAGCGAACGAAACTTCGTTTCCAGCGAAGCTACCTTCGATAGCTTCGAGTAGTAATAGGTTAGCTAGCACACATAGTCGTAACTCGTTCCTCGTCACGATGTACGTCTCCAATGGAGGATGCTGTCATTGCCTGAGGGTTGCGGCACGCCCCTCTCAAAAATCCGAGGGCGTTGGCGCCGGGCTGTCGACCCGCCGTGATGTCGGTGCGGGTTCAGCAGGCGCAGGAGCGGCAATTGGAGTGTTCTCGGCTGGAGCACCCGGCTTCACATGCTTATAGGGACACTTGTCACCCTTTGTACAGGTGCTGCGCCCGTAGTAGAAGCAGATACCGGACTCCTTCGAAATCGGTGATTGGGACCGAGGCGGGAATCCCTTCGGTGAGGAACTTCTACCCTTGAGGTTGTGGGAGAACTTACAGCCGCTTCCTCGCGTACATCTGCCGTTCTTGAAATCGTAGCAGATTTCCCGCCCTCGTGGTGATCGCGATGCTGGACGTGTTGGTGCGGGAGCAGCCCTACCCGGGCTCGCGTAGCGGTATACATCTTCTCCTGATTGCGTCGTCGGCGCCAAGTTGTAATCGCGTTGACGCAGACAGTCCGCAAATATGCGTAGTTCCGCACAGATACATCTCTGTCCCACAACTGCATGCCGAGCTCGAGGCAGCGGAACTCGCGTACCTGCTCGTAGAAGAGGGCGCAGAGAACCGGATCTTCAGGGCGGTCGACTGAGATACCAGCGAGAACACGATCCCACCGATTGGAGAAGGCTTCCAGCCTCTCCTGCTCGGACCCATGAGTAAACCGATCAATAGTGGTCTTCATCAGATCAACGAGCTTAAGAGTCGAGTCGCCAGTGACATGTGGCCGGAGAAAGTCATAAAGTAGCCACAGTATCTGCCTACTCCCGAGCCGCCGGTTTATCGTATGCATGCGCTCGGTTTCGGTCTGGATCTTATTCTTCAAGGCAATGGACTTGACGCATTCACGGAATGCTGAGTTGCATTCGTTCTCGAGCATTCCGTACTTGCACTCATCAAGAAGATCCTCATATCGGGTTCCATCGGGAATCTCAACCCATGAGAGTGCGTATCCAGGATCGTACGCGAATGCATTTGCAACTCGCTCCTTCATATCAACGATCCAGCGTCGCAGCTGAGCGGGCTCAGGCTCGGGGTCAAGCCGGAAGGACTTGCATTTTGCCTTCTTTGCTTCGCTCAGCGATCCATCACCCTTGGGTCCACCAGATCCCGAATCGTTGAGACCAGGTGGATTCCCAGTCTGTCTCTCAAGACACACGAGACAGATTCTCAATGGATCTCGGCAGCAACCGTTGCAGCACGAGAATCGGCAAGATATGCATAGCCGTCGCACGGTGGTCGGGAACGTTCCGGTGCAGCACTCGCACTGGAAGGTATCATTCCCGCTCGGTCGCCCGGTGGGCCTAATGCTTGGCGGATCAAGGCCACCATCGGGCGGACCACTCCCGCCAGGAGGGCCACCATCACCAGGCGGACCGCCAGGTGGGCCATCAGGCGGGCCACCACCGCCACCAGGGCCGAAACCAGACCCGTGGTGTCCATGTCCTCCGAAGCCACCACCGTATGCACCCCCATCATCGTTGGGGCCATCACCACCAAAAGAACCACCGTCGCCGTTATGTGCGGGCGGTCCACCGAACCCGGATGGCGCGGCACTGGGCGCAGGAACGGATGTTCTGGCATTGAAGGTGGGCATCGGGGGCATAGCATCGTTTGCCGCAACAGGTCGAAGCGTAGCTGTGACGCTTGTGTTCGGCGCTAGTGTGAAAGTGCCAGTCTCACTATGGAGAACCGGTGCACCGACACCATCGCCAATGAGATTGGATCGGCCAAGCATCGCATCATACCATCTTGATGGTCCCTTCCCTGCCGGAACGGTTCGAGTGTCATAGGAGATCTGGCACGGGAAGGTCGGGCTTGGTCTGCGCTCAGGAGCGAAGCTTCGAGCTTCAGGAACAGGTCGGATGTCAGTTCGAGGGACATCATCGACTGGATACGGCCTGAGGCTCGGAGCCAGACCGGAAGTCGCTCCGGCAGCATTTGTGGGAGGAACGGCCGGATTCGGCGATCTTCCCGAAAAAGAGGCTGACGTTTGGCCATAATTTTGTCGGACAGGCTCAACAGGATTATTTTGCCCGCGACTTTCGGCAGGATGTTCGTCAGCAACTCGTTGCTGCGCTCGCCTCAGAACTTCATCAAGATTGATGCCACTCGTTTGCGAGTGCACCGTCGAGGCCTTTTCAGCAGGCGCAGCATTGCATCCCGGCGGAGAGCCATGATCAATCGGACCTAAGAGCGAAGATCTCGGAATGGCAGTAGTGGGTCCGCCAGGGAATAGAGCACCAGGAACTGGTGGCACGTCCGCGGGGCGTGGGAAATCCACATCATGGTCACTGATGTCGAAGAACTGCGTCCGTTCCGGGCGCGAAGGCGTCGACATATCAGAACCACCCCTGCGGACATGAGCGCTCTCAAGATGCTGAATGCGAGCAGTGAGCTGATCGCTGAGAACTCGGTTGCTCTCCTTATGATCGTATAGGGCACGGCTCATCTCGGATCTAATGACCTCGATACGGTGAGTAGCGTTCTGCTCAACCGCAGCGATGCGCGCCTCAGCATTTGAGATATTGATCTGAATTTGCTGCAGTGCATCTGGGTAATGCTTGATGTGGCGGATCGTTTCAGCAAGCTGCATGGATATCGACCCAGCACGCTTCTCGTTGAATCGGTGAATCCGCTCATCGAAACTCAATGAATCGATCATTGACCATCGAGTTGAGCCTCGCAAAATGCTCTTCAAGCGTTTCATGGTCAGAAATCCGCCTTTCGCGGACAGGAAGGATCGTGTGCAACTCACGTTCCTTCCTCGACTCGGCCTGAAGAAGCTCCCACATGTCTCGGATCTTGTTTTCAAGTGCTTCAGTGATGTCCGAGAAGCCGTTCCTCAGAATATCGAGGTCGGCTTGGGTGTTGGTAACACCCTGCGCGATCGCCAGAATATCGGCGGCGATGCGCGAGGATGCCGACCCAATGGCTTCATCGACCAAGGCCCTGACAGCACAGGGACCGGTAAGCCTCCCGCCGTTATCGGTGGCGGGGGCAGCACCACCATGATCCGCCGCGGTAATCGTTGCGACGGAAACATGGGGTGCACCCGGGTGCTCGCTCATGGGCTCGTCGGGGAGCGGGGCTCCACCGCGGCCAGCCACCGGCCCGTAGGAATCGGGACGCGGTGGACGGAAGGACGCCGGGTCCGAAATCCGTGGACCACGGCCGTCCGGCCCGGACCCAAAGAGGGCCCGAGCGCCCTCTGGATCCCCGCGAAGGGACAGAGGACAACAGGAAAGATCGGTCGGAAGAAGGGCAGGTGCGGAAGCAGGAGCAGCGGACGCAGAAAAGGCAGGCAACAAGGGCAAAGCACGAGCGGTGGCAGAAGCGGGCAGCATGCCGGCGTGCATCGTGCCAGGCGTTGCGAAAGCAGCAGCAGCAGAGCATGGCAAAAGCGGCGCATGGTGCTGAGCTCTCTGATCGTCCTCAGCAGGCGGCGAAGCAAGCAGCGAAGCAGAGCGAGCGAGCGAAGCGTGCGAGGCGGGTGCAGTGCAGCGAGATGCGTGGGCACTATCATCGGGCTCCACGACATCCCGAGCAACTGGCGTCACTAGTGAAGAACCGACAGTCGAAGGGACACGGGGAGAACCGATCGGAGTCGCCATTCTCTCGGTGGCGCGGCCAATCACAAGTTCCGAACTTGGTCAGGAAAACGGTAGTGATCGGACACTGATTGGATCAGGCGATCCGAGTGCCAAACAGCAGCAGCGAAGCAGCAATCCACAATCGGATGCGGAGGCCCTACGGCTGATAACCTGTGAAAAGCGGAGGATTCCACTCAACTCTCGGTCACAAAGCCCAAGGCAACCAATCGTAGATCAAAGCAAAGCAGCGGAGCAATGCAGGACAATCAGAGATTAAAACCGTAAGTTTGACGCTCAGCGGAAAGGAAACACCAACACTACCCTAAGTGAAGGCGGGCCTTTTGCTGGACCTGACGCAGAGCCGTCGGTCTTGAGCAGTCAAGCTGCGTAAGTGAGACAAAGTTGGCTTGAGTCCTAACCAGGTAGCAGAAGCACATGTACGCATTTTTGTGACAAATCACAGGAAGGAATGAATGAATGAATGAATGAATAAATGAATGAATGAATGAACGAATGATACATGAATGAATGAGTAAGTGAGCAAGAGCGAGCGAGTGAGTAAACGCATGCATGCATGAATGCATGAAAGAAGGAATGAAAGAAAGAACGAAAGAACGAACGAATGAATGAATACATGAAGGAAAGCATGAATGATTGCATGAAACAATGCGTGAATCAATGCCTGAATCAATGCATGAACGAACGAACGAACGAATGAATGAATGAATGAACGATCGAATGAGAGACACTCGTTCTCTAGTTGCTGAGCGTGCGGAGAGCTTTTCTTTCTGCGGCATGCGCCGACCCATATTTGCACTGTGCTCTAGTGCGCATTTGTTGCGCGCGCGCCCAACAAAGCGTGGTTGTTGGATACGCACGTGCTCACACACTCGCTCACTCGCTCAGCTAAGGTCGCCGCCATTCGCACTACCAATCCCTGCGGAGCTCTTTGGCACAGTCCGCGCCATGATTGAAATATGAGGCGTCGCTGCGCAGCCTTGGAAAGTAGCATCAGAAGGACGAGTAGGGAGCACTGGCCTGAGGCCAGGGCATCACCTGGTGCTGTTGAGCCGGCAACAAAGCCTAGCTCAACACACACATCCAAGATGTTGAACACAAGCCTCTTGCAATGTCCGAGGCTCGGACAAGAGAAGAACAACAGGAAGCGCAGCATGACAGTACAAAGAATTGAATCAGTGATTTGCGTGAGCCAAGTCAAAGCTTCAACATGCAATGCAGTCCAGCAAACAAAGATTGCGGTACAGAACAAGAATTCAAGATCCAAGAGTTGCACAAAACGTGAGCCACGGACTGAGACTCTTTGAGAATGGGGTGCAATAACACGCGAATGGGACGGGTGTCCTTTTTGGGCCGTTTTCTGCATCTTCAAGCAAGGAAAAGGGACACCCCCCAAGAAAACACTTAGGTGTCCCTTTTGCTCGTTTGAAGACACAAAAAGCGTTTAAAAGGGACGTCCATTTTGGATTGGCAGCCAACCCGGCTGATGCTCTCTCTCTCCCTAAAAATGGGCGATGGAGCGGGTGTCCTTTTTTGATCGTTTTCTACCCAGCAGGGTTTAAGGGCGAAAACACTGGAGGGAAAATATTTATGCACAATTCCTTATGCTTCATAGAAAGCAAATAGGAATATAAGTTTAAAAGAATGAGAAATGAAATCCCATCGAAACATTCCAGAAACATTTACTATTTCCAGAAGCAACGCTCTCATTAATCCTTCCTTTTTTCCATACGCCTCGTCAGCACTGTCGGGGGAAAGTCATGCACACCAGTGACCCACTCCTGGCAGACGGAGCCCCACAGGACTCGCCAGATGGTCCCGAAGATACCCGCCTCTGGGCAGACGGAGACCTACAGGACTCGCCAGAGGGTCTGACATTCGGGTTGGGTGGGCGGGACACAAAAATTTTCTCAGTGCTACAGCACAAATGAGCCAAACTCAAAGACGAGAAAATTCTTGCATCAAATCCAACATGTGTGTTGTAAAACAAAAGACTGCATGGCTTATGCATGAGTTGCTCAAAAAGAAAACTCTGACATAAAACCAAGTTCAAAAACCTAGGAAGTGTAAAACAGTAAAACACCTTTCCAGGCTTTTATATTTCCTCACACCACTGAACGCCACCCCGGCCGCTAACTGATCTACCGACCAGTGTCGCTGCCTCTGGGGTAGAAAGTACCTTCAACGAGTTGATGTCTTTGCGAGATTTTTGTAGGCTACACTAGGAAAACCTAGGTAGTAGCTGTAGAGTAGAGAGCAGAGGGTTTGAGCCAAGTGTGCTTAAGCTGACCTACCGCAGCCCTCTTTACAGAGTCAAGAAAAGTGAGCCCAATACGCCTTCCTGCCTCCGCGCATGGTAGCGGAGCTGGATCGGTAGGCCCCGACGCTCCTGAAAGGGTGTGCGGGCCGATCCGCCACCACCAGCCGCTACGTCCGAGTGGTGGGGCTGGTGGGACTGGGACTCCGACTGGAGTACCCAGTGGGACTGGAGGACCTCCCAAGAGGAGGCAGCCTCCAGCAGGGCACCGGAGGGTGCCAAAGGCAGCGGAGCAGCCGAAGCTCCAACATGCTCTGCCGCATGTAGCAGATACGACCGACATGTTTTGCAGTGTGCCAAAACGATAGTCCAAGTGCTTTGGTTGAAAGGCGATGCGATAAAAACCCAAAGCTGTGTCTTAATGAGCTGCTATGCGCGTTTCTGCGAAAGCTAAAAACGCGGCTGGGGTCCTACAACGCACTACCGGGCTCAAAGTAGCGACCCCTCTGTTTCCAAGCCACCACAACCACAAACTCAGGTCGTTCACATGTCCTGCCATCCACAAAGTGGAGCTTGCAAAAGTTCTTCTGCGGTTCAAGTCAAGGCCCCGAATCCTGAATCACTGGGTTCTGCAAGTTTTTGGCTTACAGTGCTGCGTCAAGATGTGAACCCGCAACCCGCGAGCAGAGTTGTTCGTCCTCGCGCGAAGTGGTTCGTCTCAGCTGTGAAGGGAAGACGCTTCTACGGTGACGTTGATCATCCCGGGACTGGAAACTTGTCTCGGCTTGTCTCCCTGTCTGTAGTAGCTGCTATGGAGCCATGCAAGCTGTGCATTAGTGGTCCTGGCATTTAGTGAATGCAGGACGATCCGTCCACGTCATCAGTGCGACTGAGCTAAAGCTCTGAATCTCTCAGAACTCGCCGAACATCACGAGCGCCATGGTGTTCATCGGCATGTGCCCTTGGTTGAACCGACCTGGCGATTCATCGGATGCTGAACGAGACAACATCCCTTTCCTACTAGACAGCTCCTGGCTCTGGACAGCAAGTTAATGAGACCCCCTTCCAAAGTTGCCGTTTTTTGCAATGCAGAATCACGGACCGATGCGAAGCACGGCGGATGCGTGAAAGATCATATATCGTCCCTTATCTTTCAAGCACAGCTCTGGCGAGGGTTATCGTTTCTCGGCAAAACAGAAGACGAAGGCAACGATCTGGACCGGATGCCACTGGGACATCGACGACGACAGTGATGTTGAGTTCTCAGTGAGTGCTGGTGATGGTGCTGAGGCTGACGAAGATGATGGTGATGACAACGAATGATGACGATGTCGACGACGATGATGATCGTGACGCTGATCGTACAGAACCGTCGGTTAGCACGTTCGACATGTGTTGGCGGCTTTCAAGCAACAACGAGTAACACCCTCTGCATCCAGAGCTGAAGACCCTGCTCGCGTGTGCGAAGCTAGCAGTTCAGAACAACCTTTATTGAGATTTCTCTGCCTGTCCATCGCCAGAAACAAGCATGCAAGATCACTCGTAAATGTAAACAACGATGTCGAGGTTCCTTTAAAATTACGCAAGCTCCGAGCCCTGAACCCGAGACCAAGGCAAGTGCGGTGACAGTGCTGTGCTCTGTTGGGCCTCCAAGGCAGCGCTTCTGGTAACCCAGCTGGTAGCAGGGCTCACCTCACATGGTTGTCATGGTCACCGCCACAGTATCAGAGTTGCAAGGATCCTTTGTCGAGTCGTGCAAGGAGCCGGGGCCTTCGGGTCGCGGACTGGGCAACTCGTTGCACATTCCGGGTGCAAGGTACGAGCGTGGAGTGTCCACTACGAGTCACTGCGACTACTGCTTGATGCCGTTCCGCATCATGACGATGTTGTTGCTGCTGCTGCTGCTGCTGTTGCTGCTGCTCTTCTTCTCAGTTTTGCAGGCGGCGGAGGCTCCGGCTGCAGATACGACATAGGCTCTGGCAGACGCAATGGTTGTGGCGATTCTTGTTGTGGTGGGTGGTGGTGGGTGTTGTTGTTGTTGGTGGTGGTGGTGGTGGATCTGGTTGATGCTGTTGCTGTTGTTGTTGCTGTTGTTGTTGTTGCTGTGGCACTGTTTGGCTGTGTGTGCGTGTGTCTGTTGGTTGCCATCGTTAGTGTTTGTGTTTGGGACAGCGTTGGTGTTGTACAGTTCGCGGTGCTCTGACTGATGTGTCTATGACTGTATGACTATAGTGCATGTTTTTGCCAGCAGGCGCTTTGCGCTGCTTGTCCTACGGGTGCTGACTTTCGTGGTCTGGTTGCTGCTGTTCCGGTCATGCTAATGCTGCAGATCTTGCTGTGGCTAGGTCATTCCTCTTGCTGTGAGTGTCCCCATCCTCTTCCTGGGCATAGTGGGCACCAAACTTTTACCTGGCCAACATCTTCGTTCATGTGTTCATGTACGCTGCTCCATCCTCTTTGCCGTTGCCATTGTGGTTCCCACAAGCAAACAGTGCAGGCGCCAACAAAATCCAACACGCACGCGCGCACACACACACACACAAGAACGACCACGCATTCAAGAGACGAGTCCCCACCGCAACTGCTCACAAGGAATGCATCCGAACAGGAGACGACAGGAGTCTGTACTGACTGAGGAGCGAGCATACGTGGAATCCCACGGAACTCCTGATATCAACGTCCTGCCAGTGTTCAGGAAAAGCTGCCATCACAGTGGCGGCCTTGCCTGGCCTCGTAAGCCGGGCCGCGGATGGGCCAGAGCCCGCAGCCGTCGCAGCCTCTTTGGTGTGCTGCTCAGCTCTTAGCAACGAGTCGCTCTCAGCCAAGTTAAAGGGCGTACCTAGGCCAAAGTGGACCTGCGCGTCGGCCGCAAATTCTCGGAAGACCGGCTGCTGAATCAGTTCCACACCTGCGCAGGTATAAACCAAGGTGACAAGTTGCTGCTTCACCATACCTTGCGTGAGCATTGCCAAACAACATCGTGTTCGTGTTGTGCATGATACCGAGAGAATGCCAACGCGTCAAACTGCGAGCTCCCCGCCTGAGCTGTTCGCCTTGGTCTCAGCAGCCTGGCCATATCTTGCGAGCCAGGCCGATCAGGTCTGTCCGCTACAGCCGGCACTAAGAGTGAGAGGTTTTGAGCGGATGCCTTATACTCGCTGGGGAATTTGGTCCTGCACGGCTGAACACGCTCTTGAAACTCCATCTGCTGTGTGACAGTGTCCTGATCATCAGTGCCAGCACGTTGCTTGGCTTAGGTGCCTGCTCCGCACGGCCAATGCACACTAAAGCGGGGGGTGGAAGCAATGCCGCTTTCTCGTCATGTTGGGGCAGACTCCACATTCACGACTGACTAGCGTGAGAAGATCAACGAACACATTCTGACCGCAGTGTTCAAGTTCTGGAAGCGACAGCAACACAACACGGAGGGCGCCTGGCCGTGCAAAGCGCATGCAATCAGTCGATTCGGGTCCTGTCTGCAGTGGCACTTCAATTTGCTTTGAGCGAGCTGCACAGTTCTAGGCCGTCAGGCTCGAACGTAACAAAGACTTGCCTCGCTGATCATAACAAGACCTCTCCAATGTTTCATACGAGACTATAATGCTATGAGAGACACTGTTTATGATTGTGATGCTGATATGATGGTGATGATGTTGACAGCGATCACGATGACGGTTGTTTACAGGGCCATGACAACCGGAGCCACGTATGTGTGCACACTGCTCAGCCTGACTCCTCACATCGCGCTCATGCCGGCTACTTCGCTGGCGACGCTCTTCTTAGCATGCTGACAAGTACTGTCATTGGCTCTGGTTCTGCAGCAAAAGCGGTTTTCAGATACCAAAGCTGCTAAGCGCCGTACAACAAAGGAATAGCTGCATCGTGTCCGCTATTTTTGCTGACAAGTATGTATGTCGGACTGTGTAACGGTTCCCAAATCACTACATCTTAACGACAGGTGCAGTATTTGAGGTCCTCGTTTTAGGGCAACTCGCATGGCTGTATCCAAATGGAACCCAGCATGAGCCTTCTTGAAGCCACCTCTCGGGATGTTCCGCGCACTGACCTGCAGTGTTATAATAAACCAAGGTAAGAGGGTTAACAGCATGTTATTGTGAGGGACGTTTCAGGAATTGGTATCTCTACAATTTAGGCATAGCACTTGATGGCTTACGAAATAACGACTATAACACGCAGCAGTCCACGTTGATTCCAGGGCCCAGGCAATTGTTCCGCTGGAGAGGCAGCAGGGCTCGTACGCAAGCTCGCCGCTCACAGCGCACGAGAACTCCTCCGGCCATACTGAGCACGGTGATCTTTTTCAGCATGCATTCCAGCCAGCTCAGTCCTCCATAAAGCCTTCATCGCCCTCCTGCGTATCACACCCCCGGCAGGAATTTGCGCAAGAAGCACTGTCGCCAAACAGCCACACAGCCAGCAGCATGATGGGCCTCTTCAGGACTCTCAGTGACCATCGGAACCTGGAAGGTTCAGGTCAGCAGAATTCGAACGAAGACTCTGGGAAAAGGACACCGGGATTTCGTCATAACTCTGTTGCTATGTTCCTGATGCAGCTTGAAGCCTCAAAGTGTGAGCTTCACCTGTAAACGTTTGCGATGCACGAGAAGATATCCTGCTGCAGTGCAATGTTGGTGTTGCAAACCATGGTCACCCTTTCTGATCATCACGTCGTCGTCTTGAGAAACCGGGATCAGCATAGACTTGAAGGGCAGGTAGAAGGGTAGGAGCAACACACGCATTTTCCCGCATGTCTGAATTGCAGCACAGGATCATTCATGCCGTAGCGAGCCAGGATGGACTCTTCGATGGCCTTCCGACCCTTCAAGTCATTCTTGTAGGTCTCCAACATATAGTGATGCCTCGTGCATTCCAACGAGGGGTGCCCATGCGTCAACGCTGGAACAATCTGCTGGCATGCAAGCAACTATACGGAACTTGGCACGCTTCTTGAAAGTTCTCGATTTAGCTGCTTCTTGGGGATTATAATCACCAAAATTGATTAAGACATATTGCCAAGTACCCTCAAGACGAAAGCCATGTTGGGCAAAGCTGCAAAGCCACACAAACATAGGGGAAGAAAGCGATGGGCTCACCGGTCACGACCTCAGTTGAGCAGCGGCAAGGTCCCCTCAAAGACAGATCAAAGCACAAACCTTATGTGCAAACCGTGAAAATCTGCCGGAAAAACACGGCCCCAAGCTGTGGCTCAGGAACCAACACACTTTGGGCTCCCTTCGGCTTTGAGAAACATCTCGAAAAGGACCTCAGACAAAAGGTTTGTTCCTCTCAGTCTTGCCTGAATGCATCTCAGTCTTTCCAGGCATTCTGTGGGGCGCAGGCCGAGTAGCCTTGACTGACACGATTGCGACTCCATGGGAGCATGACAAGGCTGATCCAGTGTGAGCTTAGCAGCAATACGGAATGCCTTCCAGCGTGACCTCGGCAACATGGAGATCATGCTGAGATGCTTGGGCCTAATTGTCGGCTTGCAGAGCAAACGAAAAGAAACGAGGCTCTGCCTCGAGATGGCCCTCAGCACCGGGCGACTGGATAAAACAGTGGGCGGCCGGACGCTGCGCAGCAGAATTCCTCCCAGTTGGTGCTGGAACTGCTTGCCGCCGCAAAATTGCTAATTGGCTCACATTGCTTGACCCTCTACGGCAGCCCTCCCCCCACGGTCATCAGGAACCGATCCCTGCAACACCTGAGTCAGACATCTGGAGTACGGAGCTCGATGGACAGTGAGCGCCAAGCCATGAAACATGAATCATTCAGCTCCCAGCTTCAACTTCTTTGCCGGCTTTCGCCATGAGTTATTGCCGGCTCATGGAAAAACCACCACTGCCGACACTAGCCAGTTCACAGTCTCGGAATATGCGTGCTTGTCAGCTTTGCTAGTTGTAACAAGTCAGCATACATCTCAGACCGGACAGGATGTAAGATGCTGTGCCCGGACGAACCTCGGTGCAAAAACAAGACATCGCACAGGCTCATGCATTGCCGTCGAATCGAATGTTTCTGCTACAACTGTTGAGAGGAAGGTCATGCGACAGTGAAAACAAGTGGATTGCAATCTCCAGCTCAACCGGCATCATGCTACATCTCTGACCTACTCGATCGCATCTCCCACGACAGATGAGATGTAGCATTCTCCGCGCCCAGCATCCTTCGAGAGTGGCCAACAGGTCTCTCTTTGACAGATTCCCTATGTGCTCAAGCAGTGCAAAGGACTCAGCCCGTCAGGTCCCAACCTAAGAAACAAAGACAGCGTAGCTGGCGGCTCTTTTGCTCCCATTTCGTCTTGGCTGACAGCAGCGACGGCGATTAATTCAGCGCCAGCATTGGAACAGTCTTTCCCTCATCAGCTGTCTCACACGGGGTGTCCCACAAGGCATGGCGACAGCCAAGCCTTCGAAAACCTCTGTGAATGCTGGTGCAAATATCGGATTGGACCATGGCTGACTCATAGCCTAAGGCTCTTAACTGGTTCCGCTGAGACTTGTCGAGCGTGAAAAAATCACATGAATTCATTTGCCATACGTCATCCAGCAATCAGGAATCCACACCTGAGCAAAAGCAAGGCAGCCAAGCATGATGACTGTGCTATGCTGGGGCTGGTTCCGTAGCATCTCCTCGCGAAGCTGAGGAGGAACGGCGCGATCTGCCTGCAACAAAGGCATCAATGCAAATGCAGCCTGTAGTTGCAGCACGCCACTCGCAGTCCTGCGCATAGCACAGAACCGAGATGAAGTCAAATCATGTTTCTGCCGTGCGAGGAAGATTGCAGGCAGCCCGCCCCAGCCCCCAAGCGCGGGAAGAGGTCGTTGGCCTCAGCTGGACTGTCGGAGTAGTACTTGTCCCACGCAATTTGACGCTTCACTTGCGCCATGCCATGCCGTTGTAGATTCGCCCGGCTTGCTGAAAGGGACTGCTATGGGGTTTGGGGCCTAAACCCTTCACGACTTGAGGCGGCCTCCAAATGGTGCTGGACGGATCCATTGGCAGGGCTGGCTGCAGTCGCGGAACCGTCATTGGTGGGCTCACAACACCTCCTTTCTCAGATTTCCTCAAATGTCCCAGATTTACTGGGATTTTGTTGGACTTTCGGACTTTGCAGTCTCGTCGTGATCGCAGCGGCTCCTTCCAACAATTCTCACAGGCTCCAGGGAATTCCCCAAGACTCCTGCCATTCAGTTGCTCCCTGTCCGTTGCCAAGCCTGTCTTTCTTTTCATGGTAAGGACTGCGAGCGGCGAGCATTTCCAGAAAAGTGTCAAGATACACGATGCTTCCCCGAGAATTTAGGAATCATCCCAAACTCCCGACTCCAAAGCTGGAACCTAACCGGCCTAACCGCTGTGCACTAACGAGCGCAGGCCTCGAGCCTCAACTGCAAACAGCACACCACCCAGAATCCAGAATCATCAACAACTCATCAAAGTGACCTTTTGTGAAAGCGGGTGAAGCAACTGAAATCGGGCAGCTATTTCTAGCTTTGGGTACATTTCAGGATCTACACAAACAAGACGACATGATCGACCTTTCTCACGAACAGCGAGTCAATTTTACGCCACGGAGAAGGCAGGAAAAGAGGTGAATTTCACAGACCTGAACCTGACACGGCCGGAGCATCTTCAATCCCAGACGAACCGGAGGCCCAAACGGCCCACAACAAGATGTACTATACGAGTCTGAGGGGCAGTGGAACTCCAACGCTTTATTCTCATTTTGGGTTGTCGCTCGTGTCTCTCTTGGGGTCTGGATGGCTTCGGGCTTGTTGGTTTAGGGCGGTCGGTAAGGGTTTCGGGTTTGTCTAGGGTTAAGATGTGTCTGTCCAGCCTTGGCGACTGTAGTTTTGAGCTTATAGCTTGCATTTTACGGGCAAGACTGATCATGCTCATTGCTGAGTCAGGAACGAGGTGTTGATGAGCATCCATCAACAAGACGCGCCTGGCAGAACGCAGGGCTCTGGCTCACTTGCCGGCGGTGCTTTGTCGACATGAGGCGCTAGCTGCCAGAACTCGATGACAGGGGTCACGCAAAGGATGTTCTTGCGCCTGTTGGGGACAAACATCATGTATATATATATATATATATATATATATATATATATATAGAAAAATGTATGGTACCCCCCCTCAAAGACCAAGGTTTCTATATGAGCTTTAGATACAAGCCTAGTTACACTAGCCGATAGTCGTTGGCCCCTCAAGGGGCAGGGAGCCAATAACATCCCTGTTAAGGTGTAGGGACAAACATGCATGACACAACCCCCTTGTGGTTTTCATACAAGCCTGCATACAATAATCCTTATACCATTTCCTGTCGCACATTCCAGGAGGCCTATTGAATTCAATAGGCCCTATTGAATTAAATAGGCCTTCTGCATTGAAGATTGAAGATGCCCTCGAAAAATTTCCTGGGAGATCTTGAATCTTCAATCCGGGAGGCCTATTGAGTTCAGTATGCCCTATTGAACTCAATAGGGTTTATCTTGAAATCGATCATGAGGGCCGTACGTGGAAGCGTGAAAATTGGGTGGTGTGTGGCTGGTGGCGTTCCCCGCTCGGTTCAACGGAGTGCCACCTGGGACATAGCCATAAGCAATCTTCTGGAAGCTGTTCACCGGCTTGAGACCATACATAGCCGTTCCTTTGCTGGCTGGGAAAGCGCATGGAGCCATCGCAGGGGGAGATGGTGCACCATGTGCATCGGAGTTGATCGCGTTGCCGGCGTTGTTCTGCGGGGTCCAGTCCGGCAAGGGCTCCAAGTCGGCAGATTCGTCCTGCAGCTTGTTGTCTTGAACACCTCAAACAAAAAGCGGAAAAAGTTTTGCTCCAAAGCTGCAAGCCTCCTCCGCACTGCAGATGCTGCAGATGCTGCCCATGGCTTGCGAGTGGGTCTGAACTGAACACAGGATGAGTACTTCCATCAGACCAAAAAGCACCTCACAAAAACAAGTCTGCTGCGGCGTATGAAACCTAGACCTCGACAGCAAGTCCAATCGGGTATCGTGTTCACCGCGACATGCAGCCCGTTAAGAGCTCCGACCTGTCAAACTGAGAGCCACCAGCTTGCAAACGGCGTACGCCTGGATCAGTATGTGTGTGTTGGTCGCCGCGCCCTGTCATGAAAGGGAGATGGCTCATGCCCATTCCGAACATGCCTCAATCTGCAGTTGAGCGTGTCTCCACAATTGAAAGGCCTCGCACCCTCAGTGCAGAAAGCTCGCTTTTTTATGCAGAAACGCAAATGTCTTCGGCGTAGTCGCTTCGTAGCGCGTCTTCTCCTGACAACCACACGCTTGCCTGCCTTGCACTCTGCGTGGACTAGGACCCTTGGAGACTACAACCTGATCTGCCAAGCTAACAGTATGCAGGTTGAGTGATTGCAAGTAGTACTCGTAGGGAACATTCAGCATCATGAAGATCATCATCATCATCAACGCTTCTTCCTGGCCATGGCTGAGTCGCATTCTTAACAGCCAACCAGAATAGCAGCAGAATAAATGCCTCAGGTTGCCAGATCATCTCCCGCATACCCACATCCCCCACGCCCCATCCCCACCCACCCATCCGGCAAGAACCGTGCTACTCTGCCGGCGGTCGTTGGTAAGGAAGACTGCTGTTACTACTTCTGCTGCTGCTGCTACTGCTGCATTATGCACTTTCACTTCAGTCAGCGCCGCTGTTGTCGGAAGGCCCCGAGACGTCTGAGGAGCCGACCCCGGGCTGGCTTGGCTGTCAACATTCACCTAAAGACGCAAGATGCAAGAAGACCGCAGAAGACCTCCTCCAACTGTGTCTTCACAGTCTGCGCCTGACCGAGCTGAGATTCCATGTCCGCTGTGCCGGCTCCATGCATGGACGGCACGTGAATTCAGTTGGCACGCGAGGCTTCGAGCCCAAAAGCGACATGCGGCAGTACAAAACAGACATCCCAGCCCCAGCCGAGGCCCCACATAGTGCGACAACCTCGAACCTCGCAGGATGTGTTGTCGACATCTGTCTGCGGTTATTAATGCAGGAACGCAGCAGCCGCGACACCACTTGTCTTTAAACGCCCTGACAGGCCAGCACACGGCTTCCACGAAATCGTGCAGACACCTCTGCTCCGGTGTTGCAGCCACTGGTTTTCAGGGCAGGACAACTGTGTAAGCAGTTCGACGATTGGTACCGTCGGCAAGTGAAACTCATGTTGCAATGCTTTAGTTGGGCGTGCCTGGAATAAAGCAGCGTGGCACATGATGACAT